TGTTTTGGTTATGGAAGCATAGCTTTCTTTATGTTCAGAGCTTTGGACGAGTTTTTTGGCATCCGCAAAACTAATGTTTCGAGTGAATTTTAGTTTGTTTATCTCCATTTGATGCTTCCAGACAGGACAGTATTTAGAGAATGATGAGTGGTCACCAGTACAGTTTGTACATTTCTTAATATTACTGTCACAATCTTCTGTTGTATGTGTCTTTTCACCACAGTGAGCACACACAACAGACAATGTGCAAGTATTAACCCCTTGACCGAACTTTTGGCATTTGAAGCATCTAAGAGGGTTTGGAATGTACATTTCAACGTTGAGGTTACAGTTTACTGCTTTTAATGATTTTGGAACATTTGGAGAAGAGAAAGAAAACAGATATGTATTTGTTTTTATAGTAGCATAATTTCTACGGGTTGTGAAACGTTTCACATAAAGTACGCCTTGATCCTTCATCTCCGAGACGATGTCAAGCTCTGACATGTCAGCTAACAATCCATCGCGATCCCTGATAATTCCTTTACTCCTGTTTAGTGTTTTGTGAGCTGAGATCGTGACTGGAATGCCGACAAAAGATTGAGTATTCATAAGGTTGGTGGCTTGTTGTCTTTTTGCACACTCAACCAGCAGAGCACCAGAACGTAATCGCTTAATGTTCTTAACATCACCGGCAATGCCTTGTATACCTTTAGCTACGGCAAAAGGATTCAACTTCTAAGGTGTCTTGTCAATAGTTTCAAGTACAAGAAAACGTGGCCAGTAATCAATTGAGTTAGGCAGTCTGTGGTCAGTTTCAACGGGATCAGTGTCAAGTTGACGCTTGGTCTTTTTGGGGGGAGTTTCGTAAGCCATGGTTCATTTAGTTAGATTTCATCATCCAAGCTCCCCACCCACCACGGAGTATCACAAGGACAATGCTAAAAACAACTGGATTTCCAACTTGCAGCACCAAGGATACCCGGATGATATACTCCAGCAGAAATATTAAGAGATTAATAATTCCAACAGATTGGCCTATGAGCCACCGCCTTCTGGGCATACGACTCTAGGCAAAAACAGACATGAAATTGTGTAGCTGAAATTCCGAGTTCAAAAATTTGCCAAGACTTAAAAATATCATCTAATACTTCTCAAAATTTTGTGCAACATTATACAGTTGTAGCACAGGGCTTGGCATGACCAGCCGATTGGTTGAACCGGGCCCATTCAACCACCCGTCTAGGTGAAGTCAGGGGCGAAGTGGTGTGTTGGGCAACTGGAACACCTGAACCTGGTTCCAGTGCCCTCAACCACCAGACTCCCTTCCTCCACCGACACAGGGGCCCAACCCACGGCAAACGGGTTGGTGGACCAAATATACCCCCGGGTCCACAACGGGGGGTTGAAGAGCTCTTAGCGTTACCCAGCACCCACCACGAGGAGGTGAAACCTCCCAGCTGTAAGAAAACCCGCCAGCTGTCAGAAACCTCAACAGCTGTAAGAACTCGAACCAGTTGTATCTAACCCCGTCTGTTATGGAAAACCCCACCAACTGTAACAAACTCTCTCCGTTTGAACAATAGTCATCCGCTGCAACAAACCAAACCCTCATTCGATGAATTTCTAATTAACTGGAGAAACGTTCAACATCCACGCGACCAAACACACGATGCAGATCATTGCCAAACACCATCATCACAGTCCACTATCTCAGCGTAAGGATATCAATGGAGATCAGATACAGTAATAGATCAGACGAACCTATAAGTATTAAAGAACGAGATGATCAGATGAAGGCCACCGCTCAGACCGTCTGAATGTTTTCCGTGTCTCCCTTCTCTCGCCCGCCCTGAATTTTCATTCTGACGTGAGACGATATAAATCTTTCTTATCATAATTTTCCCCGCCGTTGTGGAAAGGTATGTCCTGGTGTGATGCAAACAAAGTTTTCTTACTCGTGCACTCTCCACAAAAAACACCAGGTCAGCTTGATCTTTTTGCGACTGTATTTATTTATTTAAGATACACAACAATTATGGATGGCCTTGCAGTGGTAACAAGGTTGCGATATTTCCGTACACGAGTGTAACTGAACACAATCTTTACAGTGTGGACAAGAGATTACACATCAAACATGAGTCATCATTTAGCATCAAAGAAAATGTTACTTTTGACGTTTACTTGCAGTGAAATATGAGTTGCTCTGTAAGACGTTTTGGAATCCTGCCCCGACAAGTTCAAGATACCGACCCGAGATCTACTCAGCAATAAACTTGATGCAAGCCACGTGCTCCTTCCATTGAAGTATTGTGCCCGTCAGTATGTTCCGTTATTCATTTGAAACATCTTCTTAAAGACGCCGTCTCGAGGTTTTATTCTTCGTGCACCATGTGGTTGCTGTGTAAGACTCGACAGAAGGCGGTCAGCTCAAGTGGCAGTAAGTGAACAATTCAACAAACATAAACATTTAAGTTAATAAATTTGGAGTTCTGTTTGTCAGAGGTACTCCAAACTAGTGGTGTTCCGATTAATTGAAATAATCGAAGATTGGTCGCAGTGACCGAACGACCAAGCAATCGATCACATTTTCTCATAGTCGAACACAGACGATTTTGGAACTGCTGTTTTAGTCTTTGAAACACTTGACGATGGAACATATCTTCGAAGTTGTTGGGGCCTGCAAACTTGATTAATTCTTAGAAAACTCACTTCACTAACTGAAAAGTCATGACTGAATATTTCTTGAAGACTCCAGGAAGTTTATGGTCATGATATATTAGTCATTACTTTAAAGTAGCAAGTTGCATCATCTTCTGCAATAACAACCTGGATAGGAAAATCTGAAAAATGATGCTAACCAATTTTTTTCGATGATTGTTCGTTGGTAATGAAGCAATCATCAATTGTGAGATTTCAACCAATTCCCAACACTACTCCAAACTGGTCTGATCGCAACCATACCTCATGATGGTACCGTCGCAAAGGGTCTAATATTTTGAACAAGTTGTGAAATGTTTAATGGAAATGGGAGAAGTATTGACAAAACATGATCACGTCTTGTCTGCCTTGCGACATACCACACCCACACCACCAGTGGTGTTTGCTCGTGCGCCCACATGATCCGACTTGGATTATTTGATGACGTATCACGTACAAACGATCCAATTTAGATTCGCTATTAATATACCACGGTCCATACTCACTCACTCCTTCGGGATTTTGTTTAGCTTATCAAACAACATACCGCGTTCCACTCATGCAATTTTAGCTCCAAGCGATATGTTGTGGTTGTTGAGGCCAACTATATACACATATTTGAAACGATATCCTCGATATTCACGTTTGTTGATGGTGTTACTCGGTTACAGCCTGGTTGATGCAAGCAAGAGAAAAGTAATCTAAGGGAAGCAACTCTTCTATCACTATAACAGTTTCATAATATACCGACAAGAAACGAGTCAAGGGGAGGTAAATCGTGGGCGATAGCAACGCTAAAACTTCCATAGCATTCGTGACCAACTCCTGTAAGGGATGTGGTGTATAGGGGTAATTCACATTGTACATGATTCTCCAAACATTTCATCATCACACACCTAGCCATAAATTATGAACGTTCCCTAAATGTATTTATGGTCAGGTTTTATTGGAATAGGTATGAAGAGCTAAATATGAATTAATGAGTGAACGTTGTTATGCGCCGAACCAGCACCGTCAAAGATGTAAGCGTTGTTGTACAGCTCTGTCCCTTTAACCTGGATTAGATGTAACCATGGGCCTTGAATTTGCACCCCTGGTATCCCCATTAAAGATCACAGGACCACGAGTGCGTAGCAGCAAGTCGTGAGAATGCCGGAAACGACAAAGAGCGACACGACTATAAAACACAATTTGTTTGTTAGGGACTTCCGTTGAACCAGGGGTCTCTATTTTTGACGTCACTTCCGTTGAACCAGGGGTCTCTATTTTTTACGTCACTTCCAGTTAGTCTGCATCTTGTTTCTCAACAAGAAATGTAACGGCGACCTGCAGGGTAAATCCAGACGTAATGATGATGTGGTTGTGTTTCTTCGTGAGACAGTGAGTGAGTTGGGTTTTACGCCACTCTTAGCAATATTCCAGCAATATCACGGCGGGGGACACCAGAAATGGGCTTCACACATTGTACCCATGTAGGGAATCGAACCCGGGCTTTCAGCGTGACGCGCGAACGCTTTAACCACTAGGCTACCCACCGAACCTCGTGAGATAGACGCGCAAAATAATGATACAGGGAATGGTGTACAGACCGTTCAGGTGGAGGCTGAGTACAACAGAAATGGGCTTCACACTTTCTACCCATGTGGGGAATCGAACCGGGGCTTTCAGCGTGACAAGCGAACGCCTTAACCACTAGGCTACCCACCGCCCCTCGTGAGACAGACGCGCTAAATAATGATACTGGGAATGGTGTTCAAACCGTTCAGGTGGAGGCTGAGTACAACAGAAATGGGCTTCACACATTGTAACCATGTGGGGAATCGAACCCGGGTCTTCAGTGTGAAGAGCGAACGCTTTAACCATTTGGTTATCCCGCCGCCCACTTAAACAGTAAAGTACGACTACAATGATTTTTTCCGACATTGAAACCTATTTTTGCTCTTAAAAACAGTAGTTACACGCATTACGGCTAAGATATTCAACAGCTACCTATCTCTGATACACACACAACAACAATCCATTTGCTAAATATTTGAATATTGCTAAAAGCGGCATAAAACCAAACTCACTCACGCTGATACAGCGCCTTTTCAGCGAAAAAGGTGTAAGTTTTTCAAAATGTTGAAAATACACGAAATTTTCTACATCGTTCGTTATCCCCATAGTTCACTATAAATGTAAAAGCGTCTGTTTGGTCTGATACGTTTCAGTGCACACTGAATGTGTGCGACATGGATGTCCTACTGAGTTTCAATTTCAATTGATGAATTAGCTGGGTAACAGTTGTGAAAACGCTATTCATCCACATCCAGAAATTATTCAACTATATTTATTATTGTTTGCAAATGATATATTGTTTCATGCACTGTTGCGACATGCAAAAGCAAAGTGAGCAGCGATGCCACTATTAATTAGGTCAACAACTGAAATTAATGTATTTAGAAATGATTGTAATCATGAAAAAACAACAATCAATTGTTCATTTTAATTGTGCAAAAATTTCTTCTGGGCACATATCCACGCTGCGGAGCATCCTCATGGCGCTACATCTAAAAACGCATGCATACATTTGTGCAGTAAGATGTGAGACTGATGTTTATGAGTCTTAGCTCGGAGTCTTGAGTAGCTTGGATGTATAAATATCCAGAGTGTCAGTGACTTTTAGGTCAAGAGAAGAGAGTTCCACAATATCACGGAAGTGTGCGAAAATGATCTGTGACTAAAATTCTTTTGCTTGTATTGTGGTATTGTCAGTACATTCTGATGCTGTGAGCGAAGTGGTGATAAGAGGACGGATATTGCCAATCGCTCTTCGGTGAAAAAGCATTTGCAAAAGTTGTTTATCTGGTCTTTCATGGGCAAGCTGTGGTCTAGAATGATACCAACATCTGTCAGTGGTAGTGATTGAATTTTTGAGTTTGAAACAACAATAGACTGAACTAGACTGAACTGAACTGAACTAGATTGAACCAGACTGAACTAGAAAGAACTGAACTGGACTGAAGAGTTTTTGTTTAGTGCCAACTAAACTGCCTTCAGTTTAGTCATCGATTTTGATAATGATGGTAGACACAATTGGAAACAGGCTTCCTATCTATCCCAGGTGAGTCGTATTAATAATGTCTGTTATTTCCCACAAACATACATCAATTCAAAACGTTTTGTGCAGTAATTATTCAAATTAATGTTAGATTTGAATTCAAAATCATTCATAAACAAATCAGTAGCCCAAAGACCCAAACAAGCCTAAACTAAAATGAATCTGTTGACCGATACTTCAGTCATCTAGTGTGTATCTGAATTTTATGGGGAGTTCCGCTATCTTGTCCTGGTACAGCTCATCAAACCATTCTTTCTGTGCCACAGTGAACCAGTTCTTCCAGTCGCCAACTTCACCTGAAAATATGCAGACAATAGTGCCACGCCACAATAGCTCATCTGAAAATGATGAATATTCTGACACATGCAACGGAAAGACAATTGTCTTGAGATAATACGAGATCATATGTTACAAGTCAAAATGAAGAACTGCTCCGGAGTTAATTTGTTCCATAATTGTTATTCAATGTGTTCAACATTCATGTAATGTTCCCCGCATGCCAACCGTGAAGGTCTGGGTTAGAATTGGTCTTCCGTAACCCATGCTTGTCGTAACGGGATCGGGTGTTCAGGCTCGCTGACTTGGTTGACACATGTCAGTGTTGATCACTCGATTATTTACAGACCGCCGCCATATAGCTGGAATATTGCTGAGTGCAGCGTTAAACAACAACCCAACCATGTAAAATTATGCAATGTCTGAAAGCGGGAAAAGGTGAACATTTCGGTGTAAGGTTGAATACGTTTTATAACATATTGAGAACAAGAGAGGACCCGGGAGTCCTCTGTAACCTGTAATCTAACTGGTCATACATAGTGTAGATCCTCAACCTTTGGCCATCGACCATCCATCATTTTTCTTTCACGCATGGGGGTGGTGGGGTAGCCAAAGACCCAGGTTCGATTCCCCACTTCGTTACATTGTGTGAAGCCTGGCGTCTCCCGCCGTGATATTGCTGCAATATTGCTAAAATATTGCGAAAAATCAAACTCACTCACACACTCCTTCGGGCACGATACAATGTTCATGTGAAGTTAAAACAGCAACTGACCTTTCCGGAAGGCGTATTTGCCCATTTTCGTTGTTCCCTTTCGTTTTTGCATTGACTGGAAGTCACAATGCTCGCACACCTGCTTCACGAACCCATCAGATTTGTCCACACCAAGGAAATTCCGCAGTTTTTTTGCCTCTCTCACGGGATTCTACAGAACAAGAAGTGTCGTTTTCATTACTAGAGGCCAGCTTAGAACAGGTACAGATGTACACGATTTGTGAAAGGGTGTGGAGTTGGACTGTGAGGGGGTAAGTGTGAGGTAGGATTTACCAGAATACTGGAGGTTTGTAGTTTAATGCTTAAGGCTGTTTCTTGTTCTATGCACAAAGTTTATGAAGTGAAATGTTATTGTTTGCATCCCTTCCCATCGGTAGAGAAAACTATTTGTCTGTGGTACCTCTTTAAAGTCCTCGTAGAATAAGGTAAGAATTGGGTGGTCAGGGTTGTCCTTCTTGACCTCCTCCCAGTGCCGGGTGTGGTCAAACCAGGACCCATAACAAACTGAAATAATACAAACTTGCTATGATTATCAAATTATGTTATTCTTCATCTGAATATCTTCACAGGTGTATTTTAGTCAAACTATAACACATATGAAAACATATGTTTGCTTCCTTTCAAACACCACATGGAACTATATTCCAGCTATAAGAAGGCAGCCATTAAATTATAAATGGGACCAGACAATCCAGTGATTTATCTTATAACTACAGACAATGAACCAAGTCACTGAATCTGACGACCATATTATAACTATACATTCATCATGGTAGAGATTATCAATCTCAGATTTGTCCCAATTTCGCCTCCCAAGGTTTTACATTTCTCTACCAAAACTGAGGGGAAGTGTTTTCCCTAACATATAAACCGTCAATGATGGATAATTATAATGTAGATGATCATTTAATGAAGCCACATAACAATAACTGAAGCGCAAGTAAAATCAATTTAATTACAGTAACTATAGATAATTCAACCCCAACGTTTCGTCAGCTCGGTGGCCTTGTGGTAGAGCGTCCGCTCAATATCCTGAATGATGCGGTTCCAATTTTGCTCGGGAAAACATTTGCACTTTAAAATTGATTTTGGGCGATATTTTTCAATTGATTTCAAGCTCTCATATATCATTTGAATGTTGATGTTCATATAGAGTTAGGAAAAAATAATTACAAAAAGTAAAACCTGACAGCAAACAAAAACTTCAAATGCGGTTATTCCGGGAAAAGAAGAGATGCTTAATATATATAGTCTGTTTGCAGTGAAAACGTACCGATGTATGTCACTCTAAACGACAAGGTAAATCAAATAAAGTAAAATTAAGATTGCGAATCCTCATAATTTTACCTTGCCAATTGAACATTCAAATCTCAGAATTTTATTCAACTTAGGATAAAAGTTGCTTAACAAACGATCATAGTTTCAAATCGCTATTATTGGTTTGTATTACAAGGGGGTGTGCACTTTAAATGAAACACCGAGAACAAGTAGTGTTGGTTTAGCATTTGTTTCACTGTTCCATCTACTGCGCTTACCCCCTTGTAATACAAACCAATAATAGCGATTTGAATCTATGATCCTTTGTTAAACAACTTTTATCCTAAGTTCAATAGAATTCTGAGATTTAAATGTTCATTTGGCAAGGTAAAATTATGAGGATTCGCAATCTTAATTTCACTTAATTTGATTTACTTTTTTGTTTAAAGTGAAATTCATCGGTACGTTTTCACTGCAAACAGGCTATAGTGAGAAGCACACTTCAGGTCTATATCCATGGATAAGGATGGATGTCCTGACAAACGTGAAAACGTAATCGGGAAATCAAAATTGTTACCATGAATCATAGGTTCCTTGTACAGTGAAGCCCCGTTAGTCCGGACTCCGATAATCCGGAAGTCTCGCCTCCCGGACGATTTCAGCTTGTTACCAATCTATGCCTATATAATTTGCCTCGATAATCCGGAAATTCGGTTTCCGGAACCGGACGGTAAGTAGCTGTCACCAATCAGTAAAATAAACAGGAAATTGCTTCACAGTCCGGACGCTGTTAAGTCGTGTTCACGAACTGTAACAACACTTCCCGGCGATGTTTACTTAACTGGCCTCAAACAATATACACTCGGTGTCATGGAGTTGACAAGATGAACTCTTGTTAACTTTTGAGAAATGTCAGTTAACGGTTGTTGTTTTAATTACACATAAAAGCTCCCGACTGAAGCTGTTCATTTACAGTTTGATTGACACCTGTCCGCAAACATGGCGAGTCAACCTGCTAAAAGAAAACGAAATGAGACTACCGCATTCGAAAAGAGAGAGATTGCAAGATACAAGGAAGAACATCCAAAAGCAAGTTTAGATTTCCTAAGTAAACACTTTGGTGAATTATTTCCAAGGGACGCAACTCTGTTCAGTGAACTATGCCAGCCGTGCTACCTGTGAAGGCAATAATTTATTACGACTATACATACATTTCCCGTTGAAATATGGCCGACAGAAGTTGTTCCATTTGCCGTTGTAGTCGGTGAAGGTGAGGACGCGCAAGAAGTTGTAGTACGACACCGCGACGTCCATGGGATTCCGGAGCACACAGATCAGCTTCACCTTTTTCTTTAACACATCCGCCGGAAGTTGTTCAAGGCGCAGGTGTGTGTTTAGGATTCTGGGAGAAGGAAGGTCTCTGTATGATGTTTCGGGCGAACTGTCCATCATGGTGACCATCTTTTGGAGTTCATCGACGTCTAGACTTCCGGCTAACAGGAAGTGGATTACCTCCATCACCCAATGGGATCCTGGGCAGTGAGATTGCAACATGGTCTCATTAGTTACCCTATCCCCAAAGTCGTTGATGGGTCAATATCATTTTTCTCTTCGGGGCTGGGATTTGCCTCATTGGAGGAGGTGTGGTAGGGTAGCCTGGTGGTTAAAGCGTTCGCTTGTCACGCCGAAGACCAGGGTTCGATTCTCCACATGGGTACAATGTGAAGCCTATTTCTGGTGTCCCCCGCCATGATATTGCTGGATTAGTGCAAAAAGCGGCGTAAAACTAAACTCACTCACACTCACCTCATTGGACGAGTCTACCATTGCATGGGCAGTCTTAGATATATTTGTTTCGGGGTCAGCATGACAGACTAGGGTCATCTCGACATTAGTAATAAGGTGTCATTTCGACATATATACTAAGCAGCAAAAGAAACGTCAGTTTGGAATTTTCCTTCGCAGAAACGGATGGTATGGTAATGGTATTTACAAATGAATTTGAATTTTAAACTTTAACAAAATCGTATTTCTAAATTTTATGGCGAGGTTTAGGCAGCATGACGTTAACTGAGACGTCACAGACTGCCCCTGTTTGATGAGGCGCTAGGAAGACTTGAAGCTGGCCACACTGCACAAGCCATTGCCAATCACTTCCAGGTCAACGTTCGGGCCATCTACAGGCTGCAGCAACGTTTCCGGGCCACCAACACCACAAATGATCGCCCCCCTACTGGCAGACCAAGGGTGACCACAAGACGACAATTACACCGCCATGTTGTGCGACAGCATGTACAGCATCCCTTCATGCAGGCATCCGAAACAGCACGCCAGACAGTTTGAAGACCAATCAGTACTGATACAGTACGCCGACGTCTTAACAGCGGGAACCTCCATTGCCGTACACCTTACCGTGGACCTATCCTCACCTCTCGTCATCGGCGTGAACGTCTACAGTATGCCCTACAACACCAAAACTGGCGATAGAGGCAATGGAGAACTGTTCTGTTCACAGATGAGAGTCGGTACTGCGTATCAACTACAGATGGCAGAACAAGAATATGGCGACGACGCGGCGAGCGTTACTCAAACCAATGTGTCATGGAAAGAGACTCATGGGGAGGTGCAAGCATCATGGCATGGGGTGGAATAGGCCTGAACCAGGGAGTGGGTCCTGTGGTGTTCCGGAACCTTGGTCCAGGGAGAGGAGGCGGCATCACAGCGGTGCACTACATCCACCAAGCTCTCAGACCCCACGTCATACCACAATGCGCACGTCACCGGAACAACATTTTCCAGCATGATAACGCCCAGGTCCATACTGCCAGAACTAAACTGGACTTCCTATAGCACAACGGTGTCAGACATTATGCAGTGGCCAGGCCTTTCTCAGAGTTAGGCCACAAATGGGGATGAAATGAGACTGAATAATGTCACACCAAGGCCGAACACAGCCGATTTATTGCGCCATGCCTTTCTCAGTGTGGTTCAGGTGTCAGCCTTCATCAATATTGCAAGACGCTGTGCTGCAGTTATTGATCACACATGTGAAGCATTGTATAATGCAAACAAGCATTGTACTCATTATTTTCAGATAGTATAATAACTGATGTATAATGAAACCATTTCAAACTCAAAACACCCGAAACACAGAAGCAAGAGTCACCTTTAGGGTCACCGTGTGTGTGTGGCATTCTTGTGGTCTGACACCAACCAAATCAGGGGGTTTCCATGCCTAAATTTTAAAGCCCAAATGGAAACTGGACAGATAATCGGCATTGGTTGTGCTCTCGCATTGACGTTTAAGACGTTTTATTATTAAGGTCTTATTATTAAGACCTGTCAGTTATGCTGGATAAAAATACAAACATTCTCAGTTGATAAAAGAATATATCTACCTATGTAGAAGCAATCTATTACCAGAGACCATATCGGTATCTCTGCTATTACTAACAGAACCGTAATATTATCCACACATTAATGTGTCTACACATTTGACAGAGTCTAGTAGCCGTGTGGTTAATGTATGCTACAAAATGTGAGGCTTATTTGTTTTGAAGTTGACTTTTATGTTGGTATGCACCACATGAATTGGTTTAGAATATTCATCATGTGACGTTCACGTGTACGGAATAGTCTAGCTGTTATTTCAGTAATTGTGTATAATTATACATACTGCAATCCGTAGCGCTCACCTAAATACAAGTACAGAGGAAGAGGGTATCTATTCAAAAGGCATTGGATTGTATATAGACTGACGTCCACAAGAAGGTTATTCTATTAATCGCAATAAAAGTTGGTGTGAAGAACAAGGCAGCTAATTCTATCTTCTATGTTAGCATGTTATAGTAAAGATATTGATATGGTTATCAAGCAAGTGATCTCAGCTATCTCCCTTGTTTCAGAGAAAATGCAGCAAGACTTTGAGATACAATTGAAGCAAAAGCGAGCGCATGTTGGATGTGAAACATATATTCCGTTTTTTTACACCTGTCACTTTTTTAAAGCATGCAACAACTTTAAGAAGTAATGTTTTGAGAAATATTGTTTTTCCAAATTGATGTAATACTGCATGTAACATCAATTAGTGTAAGTTACTGTATACTTTGTTTACTCTCTATGTAAACCGGAGTCCTAAAATACAATTAACTTCTTCTTCTACACTTGAGAGCGATCAGACACACACACGCACGCACGCACGCACGCACGCACAGAAAATCATCTTGTAGAAATACTTTTTGTCGTCCACAAACATTGTATTGACCAATTGTAGTGCTATCTATGTATAGTGGTCAAGGGCGGTTCCTTGAGGACGTGTACACCCTTCCAGCTCCAGGGTAAGCCCCTGTGTTACTCACCTGACTTTGGGTACGCTGATACCATGATGTCGTCGCTGCGGACGTTGACACCAGTGAGGTTACGAAAGGCGTTGATGTCGCCATTGGGAAGCACCTCTCCGTCTACCTCCAGGAACGACGCCCCGTCTCCACCATCGTCAACGATCCGAACTACGCTCATTTTCTGGAGGTAAGATAGTAGCAAGATATTCAGTGTCCGCGTTAACGCTGAAACCTCCGTTTTTCACGCAAAAAAAATCATAAAAACACGCAAAAATATTGTGCGTGCGTGTTACGGTTTGTCTCGACTAGTAGATCTGATGCTGATACATGCACTAAGAAAAGCACATCTCTCAGTGCGGACAGGATAAATGATAAATCGAGTGACGCACTCACGGACGCTATATTAGTGGGCCTAAAACTTCATCAAGTTGTTCAGAAATTAAAAAGTCTCGAAAATAACCTGACTTTTTTTGCCCAAATGGTCAAATGAATTTCTGTGGTTGCGACAAACATCGTCAACTGACGGGATTGTCATGTTTTCCTTCAGAGGAGTGAGTCAGTGAGTTAAGATTTATAGTCACATCGTCAATATTTCAGCCATATTGTGACTTTAACAAATTACAAATTCATAATCATATTAATTGCAATTGAAATAATAAAAGAAATCTGTCGACGAGGGACAGTAAAATAACTAGATCATCACAGATAGAGAATTTAAACTAGCATGTACCTTTAAAATTAAACAAATTTTATGAACAATACAATATATAAGAACGGGCCAGACATCACCAGAAACTGAAGGTAGGTCAACATACTAGTGAGTGAGAGAGTTAAACTTTAACGTCAGCTCGGCAATATTTCAAGGTCACCATACAAAGGACCATGGGACCATACTAAGGACTTACAGTACATTTGCTACCTACATGGACCCTAGTTGAAGTTACACCATCCCTTCTGCCGCTGGCGATTGTAGGAATATTTAGACATCATTTAAAATAACACAAATACCACATTTGAAACAAGTGTAGAAGTGAGCACAGCTCACATACCCCCGCTTCCCACTTTGGGACATGGAAATGACTGATATTGATATATATAATGTGACAAGGATCAGCAGCTCACAAGACTTTCTCCTTGACTCTACTAAACTTTATATACATGTTAGATAATAGTTTTGCCATGTACTGATTACAGTAATAATTTATGGAAACATTATTTTTGGGTGTTTTCCGTGGAAACCTGACATACAATTGAACTTGTTGCACACAATGAAGTGGACGTAGATGAAGATTGTTATTTTTAGCACATGGCATATCTGTGGGTCATGATTAACTTGTGTATTAAGTTTGGTGAACCTAGCATGTAAACTTTAAGAGATATGCTCCGGACAAAGTTTCGGGACGGACGGACGGACATAATGAACGCTATATACCCCCGTTACTTCGTAGCGGGGGTATAAAAATATGGTAAGTACAAATTTACCGTGAATGCATTGGGACTTACGTTCCCCCAGAGAAGGACAATACTTCAAACCCCCTGTGAGGGTACAGCCACTAATACCTTTACAAGAAGGTGTAGGACATATCAGCGAAATACTCTTGTTAGGCATAGTGTGTTGGTGGACCACAAAATTGCAATCATTTCAGAAACAATATCAACAACATTGCAAAAACACGTCCAAAACAGTGATGTTGCCCACAGTCTATGGCATGGCCAAGGAGGAAATGCCGGAGAGAAAGTTGTCCATTCATAAGAAACTACAAGACATTAATGGCGTTCCTGCGCTTCAGGGTGGCAAATACTACACACATCATAATCGTTCATTATATTCAGACACTGCAACGTATGTTAACAGGTTAAAGCTTGTACATATAATTTCTTGTTATGATAATGATGTTATTGTAATGAAATTTCACACGCAAAAGATTTGGACTACATATTTATCATTTTATTTCTGCACGCACTAGTACAAAACCTACCGCGAACACGATAATGGAAAAAACCCAACCCCAAATACAGGAGAAAATGCATGGGTGCAAATTGAAGTCAAGAGTAGTGTAGTATAACTAGGTCAGTGGGTTAGTAGGCCTACCTTTCAAATCGTCTTGCACAACTATATTGTAAACCATGTTTATAAAACAAACAAACAAAACGTTATCACTAAGTTTTACGGTCATTTTTACACGTGCAATCACAACAATTAATTTAATAGTAGTTCCATTAGCATTTCCCATATTACCCCATTTTATGCACTGATATTTGGTCGTCTCCCTTCAATGATAAGCGATATCTTCCCGAATATGGTGTAACCAGTCTGGCCTATGGTCATTGGAGAATCAGAGAAGTGCCAATGAAGGGAGGTATGAATAGCCCAGAACCTTGTTGTTCTGTCACTGACCTTTTGAGGAGAAACATCAAGATGGATATCTGTTCTTTGTGTGGAAGACTGACTGAGTGACTGAGTTTGGTTTACGCTGCTTTTAGCAATATTCCAGCAATATCATGGCGGGGGACACCAGAAATGGGCTTCACACATTGTACCCATGTGGGGATTCGAACCCGGGTCTTTGGAGTGACGAGCCAACGCTTTAACCACTAGGCTACCCCACAGCCCCTATGCTTTGAAGAGACACATGAGAGTCAAACATTCTGATGAATGCCAAAATGTGGTTCCACTGACGCTGACGACGACGCAGACACAGCACCACCACCACTACCACCACACACACAAATACATACCACAACACACCACCACATACCACCATCACCAACATCACCATCACCCACCACCACCCACCACCACATACCAAAACACACCACCATCACCACCACCACCCACCACCACCACCACCATACCACCACCACCCACCCACCACCACCACACACCACCACCATCACCACCACACACCACCACACCACCCACCACCCATCACCACCACATACCACCACACCACCATCCACCACCCACACCACCACACACCACACACCACCATCACCAACATCACCATCACCCACCACCACATACCAAAACACACCACAATCACCACCACATACCACCAGACACCACCACATGGTAGAGAGATGTGTAAAGTGTATTTGTATATTTCAAGAGACATCTGTATATAGATTGTAAGGGTGGCTTGGGGAGGCTCACCTACCCATGTCCATTCTGCATGCACGGGGATATTAAATATTGTGTATAGAAGTTGTATGTTGTCATTGTTTATTTCGCTCTATAAATTTTCATTTGTGCAGGCATGTGTCATTACACAAACGGACGACTTCAGTTTTTTTCAACATGGCGTCGGCCATGCTATAGAGGAAACAAGGGGGATTCCCCCTAGTGACGTCATCAGTGTGGAAGCCTCTCACATTCAGGTAGGCTACCCGATCTCTATGGAAGTACATGCTGTTGGGTGTTCTTGCACTCTCATTTCTGCCACTACTAAATGCAGCAAAAGAAGCACCATGTCTTGACTGATAATGAATCCCTCTTGTATAAGCTTGTAAGCACACATTTGTCCTGATTCTTCTGCCTCTTTCACTACGGTCCCTCGCCATGATATTGCTGGAATATTGCTAAAAGCGGCGTAAAACCATACTCACTCACTCACTTTCACTACGAACATAGCAACTTCTGCAATATCACTATTATGTCTTCGCCTAAACAGATTCAGTAGTTTTGATTTCCTTTTCATGCTGATAATGATGTCATTTACATGGGCCAAACAAGACACAATTTCTGAATACTGCATGCCCAACATGAAACAAATGCATATGCTTTCATCCATGACTTCATCCAAGATGCTAAACCCAAACAGAAGAAGTGAATGACTACTGGTTGACGTTTTCAAACATATTTATAAGATCCTTAAGTCCTAATTAGGAGATATTAAGTCCTAATTAGGAGATACTAAGTCCTAATTAGGAGATAGTATCTCCTAATTAGGAGATAGCTATGTCCTAATTAGGAGATGGTATCACCTAATTAGGAGATAGCTAAGTCCTAATTAGGAGATATTAAGTCCTAATTAGGAGATAGTATCTCCTAATTAGGAGATGGTATCACCTAAGGAGATAGCTAAGTCCTAATTAGGAGATATTAAGTCCCCTAATTAGTCCTAATTAGGAGAGTATCACCTAATTAGGAGATAGCTAAGTCCTAATTAGGAGATATTAAGTCCTAATTAGGAGATATAACCTAATTAGGAGATATTAAGTCCTAATTAGGAGATAGTATCACCTAATTAGGAGATAGCTATGTCCTAATTAGGAGATAGCTATGTCCTAATTAGGAGATAGTATCACCTAATTAGGAGATAGCTAAGTCCTAATTAGGACGTTTTCAAACATATTTATAAGATCCTTAAGTCCTAATTAGGAGATAGTATCACCTAATTAGGAGATAAAAAAAATTCTGACTGTGGCACTAGGACGCTTCCGTAAAATATGCTTAAAATTAGACATGGATTTAGATTTGAATCGTACCGTTACATTTTCTCGCTCGTCATTTTTTTCCTTTCGGCCATTTTGAACGGCGTGTATTCCTGACATTTTGCGAGATGTGATGTTACCGGCAGTTCGTTTGTCAACAAGCACGATACTGTTTCAGTGATGCTGCTCAGAATCAAGCGTGAAAACGTACGTTCAAATTTGAAAAATATATACATTTTAAACAAAGATAACGAAGACAAAACTCACCACAACGAAAAGTTGGTGTTAAACAAGTTTAGGTGCTGTCAACATGTGTGGTAGGTCGTCTGCTTGGTGTTGATATCGGCTGTCAAAAAGTCACATGACCATCACGTGATACTCTCGATAAAAATAAACTATAGAAAAGGCAATTGGGGATTCTCTTATAGCCTTCGTACTTACTGTGGTTATTTTCATGTTTCATTTAATGTGATCAACTTTTTATTTTGATTATAGGGCTCCATCAGATCAGGAAAACAATATTCATCAGAAAGCATAGAAAAGCCGTCATCAGCGGGGAGTGTGAGTGAGTGAGTTTAGTTTTACGCCGCTTTTGGCAATATTCCCGCAATATCATGGCGGATCTCATCAGACATGGGCTTTACACATTGAACCCATGTGTTGAATCAAACCCTGGTCTTTGGCGTGAGGAGCGAACGCTTTAACCACTAGGCTACCCCACCGCCCCCTGTGTTACAAGGACCGCCTCCGTGGTGTAGTGGTTAGAGCGTCCGCCCGGAGAGCGGAAGGTCGCGGGTTCGATCCCCGACCACGTCATACCAAAAGACGTTAAAATATGGTACTTGTTGGTCCCTGCCTGGCGCTCGGCATTAATGGGTACAACAAGGACTGGTCGGCTCGGAGTCAGTATAATGTGTCTGAGTGGGGTATTCATGCTTCACTGCGGCATGGTATCTCAGTGGGCTAGCACTATAAAACCAGCTTAAGTCTGGGCTAGTACAAGCAGCCGCAAATACACATACACATACATGCAAGTCGTCATATGAGCGAAATATTCTCAAGCACGACGTAAAACCCAATTTCACATCACATCACATCACCGCCCCCTGTGTTACAAGGACCGCCTCCGTGGTGTAGTGGTTAGAGCGTCCGCCCGGAGAGCGGAAGGTCGCGGGTTCGATCCCCGACCGCGTCATACCAAAAGACGTTAAAATATGGTACTTGTTGGTCCCTGCCTGGCGCTCGGCATTAATGGGTACAACAAGGACTGGTCGGCTCGGAGTCAGTATAATGTGTCTGAGTGGGGTATTCATGCTTCACTGCATCATGGTATCTCAGTGGGCTAGCACTATAAAACCAGCTTAAGTCTGGGCTAGTACAAGCAGCCGCAAATACACATACACACGCATGCACGTCGTCATATGAGCGAAATATTCTCAAGCACGACGTTAAACCCAATTTCACCTCACCTGTATGACAAGAGGGATGACACCCTCTGGTGTCCACGTTTCACAACTTTCAGATGGTACAAGAAGCATGTTCTGTCCGTGCTTCTCAAACAGTGTCATGTGACTCCTGCCCAAATGTTGTTTGATGAAAGTTACCGCTCTCAAGGCCGCAGGATAAAACAAAACTTTGATGGTAGACGTGGAGTATATTTCCAAATGATACATTAGCATCACACTGAATATTACTATGTACAGAAGTTGGTGATGGTGACCACTTGGCTACCACCACCCCACACCTGACAGGCGTGCAGTAGATGTTATGTTGGTTGGTTGTTTAACGCCGCACTCAGCAATATTCCAGCTGTATGGCGGCGGTCTGTAAATGATCGAATCTAGACCAGACAATCCAGTGATCAACAGCATGAGCATCGATCTGCGCAACTGGGAACCGATGACTTATGTCAACCAAGTCAGGACCCGTGAAGGTCCTGGTTAGAATATTGATCTTCAGTTACCCATGGTTGTCGTAAGAGGCGACTAACGGGATCGGGTGGTCAGGCTCGCTGACTTGGTTGACACATGTCATCGGTTCCCAATTGCGCAGATCGATGCTCATGCTGTTGATCACTGGATTGTCTGATCCAGACTCGATAATGTACAGGCCGCCGCTATATAGATGGAATATTGCTGAGTGCGGCGTAAAACTAAACTAAACTCACTCACTCACTCACTCACTCAACCAAGTCAGCGAGCCTGACCACCCGATGCCTTTAGTTGTCGTTTACGACAAGCATGGGTTGCTGAAAACCAATTCTAACCCGGATCTTCACGGTTAATGTAGCCTTTATGTTCGATGCGCGCTATGCTGCTGGTTCGTATGTTTTACAATATATTGATACATTTGTAACGAATTTGTCTTATCCTTCTATTATTATTATTCCTTTTTTGGGAAAATGCAAAATGGAATTTGATTTGAACCCCAGAGGTCACGGAAAGAGTCATGCGTATACAGTTTCATGTATAGGGTGCTTGGCGCACTGTTGGTATGATAATTCCAAGCAAAGACAACTTTTTTCACAACCTTTCCTGAATTTTGAGACGAGAAGAGAACCAACCACATAATAGTGATAAAATATATGCCAATATAGACACTATATTTGAATTTTGAATTTATGGAAACCCGGTGCCTTGCTTGTCCGGTTGAGTCCAAACTATGCGTTTATCTGCTCGAAGTATCTTTTTCTGTTGCGTGGTGAGGGGCGGTGGGGTAGCCTAAAGGTCAAAGCGTTGGCTCGTCGCCCGAAGACCCGGGTTTGAATCCCCACATGGGCACAATGTGTGAAGCCCATTTCTGGTGTCCCCCGCCGTGATGTTGCTGGAATATTGCTAAAAGCGGCGTAAAACCAAACTCAGTCAGTCAGTGTTGCGTGGTGAAGGGCCAAATGGATACAAATTAGGTGAGATACGTTCCAATGTGCGAGTCTTCTTCCTCCGACGTCAGCAAAGACGTCAGGATGTCCAACAAAAATATATCATATTATGCGTAATTCATTATATGTGATGATAAGGCTCTTATTTCATTGCCAGTGGTGAGCATTTGTCGAATTACTCTCGTACAATCTGTTTCATCTAAATCTAATTTACATAGAAGAAAGAGTCAAAGATGCAGGCGAACGCATTCGACAGGCGAATTGCATATGGACACCCTAATTGAAACTCGTATCTGTTTAACGAGTAGATTTTGCCACAGGAACCCGTTTTCGCTATGTAGGTTAAACATATACCATAGATCTACACACACGTCATATATATAAAAACAATGTTTATATATGACGTGTGTAGATCTATGGTCTATGGGGGCGGTGGGGTAGCCTAGTGGTTAAATCGTTGGCTCGTCACGCCGAAGACCCGGGTTCGAATACCCACATGGGTACAATGTGCGAAGCCCATTTCTGGTATCCCCGCCGTGATGTTGCTGGATGTTGTCTATGGTCTATGTTAACCTACATAGCGACATAGTCTATGTTTAACCTACATAGCGACAACGGGTTCGTGTGGATTTTGCCAAGCATTTAAATTACGCAAGGCATACAGAAAAGCACAACGTGCTAAGCATAAAAACTTTCTGTAGTCTCAAAAAGAAAATTTCGCGGGTTATGAAAGTACTGGCTAAATGTCTCATGAAACAACTCTAGTGAGTGAGTAAGGTTTTACGTAGACTAACAACAAGTCTCTGAAATGAACATATTTTACTGAAAAAAAGTTCATAGTAAAAAAATAAAATAAAATGAAAAGGAGCCCTGAGACTTTCTTCATTTTCAGAAGCTGAGGAAATCTAGACTTGCCACATTTTCTAGACTTGCGTGGGCTTTCTTGGATATATTTACTTGAGGGTCTGTACGACAGTCTAGGTTTTACGCCGCTTTTAGCAATATTCCAGCAATATCACGGCAGGGAACACCAGAAATGGGCTTCAGACATTGTACTTCGTTATTTTCTAGTTAAGTTTAACATTTATTTTCTACATGTCTTATATTACATGGATGTAGAAATCTTCGTAAAATTGATAAATGATCTCTTATCAAAGGAATGCATATTATAAAAGAATATCAAAGTATATACTTTCTATTGCAATAGGCGACAGGGGTAGGACGTGTGTGAGATCGCTCTCCGGTTGTGTGTTGTAATTGATCATATAGTGAGTCTGATGTGAACTGTGAGTGACTTGTGACTACCAGAAAGATCACATAAGCATTTGTGAGTGTGTAAAGAACTGTGTGAGGCACTTTCTACAGAAATCTACTGAAATGTCTTCACGAGAGAGACGAGGAAGAAAGAGCGCCAACACCAAGAACCAGACCGAGCCACAGAGGAGTAGCAGTGAGAAGAGGAAGCCCTCAGGTTCTCCACTAGATCCTCTACCATCGAAAACACTGAAGCCGCTAGTCCAGTCGACACTGCAGTTGGATTTACCTGAAGTATTTACCTTTGGATCCTGCTGTACGCCAATATCGACAACGCAAGCCAAGATGGCGACCCCCACACAACAACAGAGCGGGACAGGTCAAGGCGTCCAGAACCAAGATCACTCCTACCCGTCTACGCTATTTAACTTCATCAACGAGGCCTCAATGGATGTGATCACGACGAAGCTGAGTAGTGCCCTCATGTTACCAGCTCTACAGCAGAAAATCAGGGAGTCGTTTGTGAGTGTTGCAAAGGAAGCGCTGAAGGACATCATTCAGGATGTTGTAGCCCCCCTCAAGCAGGAGATACAGGAGTTGAGAGACGCACTGCAGCTCAAGACCGACGAGTTAGAGCAGTATAGTCGGAGGATCGCAGGACTCAAGGAGTCTGACTGGGGACGGGAGGAAGAGGACATTGACCAGGTTGTACTAGATGTGCTGAAGGATGTACATGTACATGGAGAATACTACACTCGGTCTCATTACATACGAATTATACGAAACGAGTGTCCTTCCTATGGTCGAGCGAAAGCGAGGTCAGATAACATAGGAAGGTCACGAGTTTCGTATAATTCGTATGTAATGAGACCGAGTGTGGTATTTTATTTATTACCCACGTCTTACAAGCATTAAATTGACAAAATAGCGTATTTTGGTTAATATTTTGGTTTCAAACCGAAACCGGTTTCATAAAGAGGTTGCGGAAGAGTTTTGTACTGTAGTACAATATTTGCATGATGTCACTGTAATGACGTCACTACCTTGGTAACCGACGTCACGATGCATGTCAGTTGTCATCGCCTCGTACAGCCTCCTACAGTAAACTACTCCGTAGCACCCCGTTTCTTGGTTTGCAGTTGCTGCATTCGGCTAACATCACTGGTGGAAACATTGCGTTTACGTTTTTCGACGGGTATAATGTCTC